GGAGGCAGCTCTACGCTGTCCAATGAAAGCACAGCTCCCTCTTAGTCACGTGATGGATAGGAAGGGCGTTAATTGGCTGCACGTTCGTTGATTGGCAAGGTTTAGTATTGAAAATGGCAGTTCGTTTCAGTGAGTAGATTTGATTGGTTGCTGTTGGCATTATTTGCAGGTAAAGCAACGGGACTTTATTTCGGTTCAGTAAGAAAGGCTTGTTTATTTCCCGTGCTTAGCACGTCAGCTGTTCCCAAAGTTATGCTACATAAACTTTCAGTAGATGCGTGATTTAAAGAAAGATACTTTCGCCTACTCTTTGCCAAAATTTAGAAGAAAATAGACTAGATCTAAAAAAATAGAAGTGTACGGGAAATTATTATTTTTAACTAAGAAAAAATGATGTATCTTCATTTTAAAAGTAAGAACATTGTTTATCTATCTATCTATCTATCTATCTATCTATCTATCTATCTATCTATCTATCTATCTATCTATCTATCTATCTATCTATCTATCTATCTATCTATCTATCTACATCTAGCCTAAATAAACTGAACCACTTACTAAAGTTTTTGTTCATTAGCCTTTTAGAGTGAACTTAAATTACATGACTGTAGAACAGTAATACAGGGAATGAAGTATGGTGGTGATTGTAATATCCCGAGAATTTTTTTTTCCATGGCGCCAAAAACTTGCTATTGAGAAAGTTTCACAGGGTTGCTGGTGACTCGCTGCAGGACACGTAAAATCTGATCAAGTTCACAGACGCGCTGAGTGTTTCAAGCAGCGCTTTTTATACCTCCAAGCCTTTTCACGTTCCCTCTCCCCCTCAATCTCTAGGCTCGAAAGGAGCTCCCTTTTATATCTTAGAGATTAAAAAACAAAAATCTTTAAATCAGCCTCTCATTCTAGTCTAGTCCTCAGCTTTAATGCATTCACTTTCACCGCGTTTTCTGCAAGGGGAAAACTAATAGTTTTTTTAAGGTGAGTGTTATTTTGTTCAGTAGATATTATTTAGTTTAAAATATTCTAATTTAGGCTATGTTGTATTTGGGTAATCGTATATTTCTTTTAATTTTTTATTGACAAATTAAGCTAAATTCTTAAACATCTATCTATCTATCTATCTATCTATCTATCTATCTATCTATCTGTCTGTCTGTCTGTCTGTCTGTCTGTCTGTCTGTCTGTCTGTCTGTCTGTCTGTCTGTCTGTCTGTCTACACACACACACACACACACACACACGCACACACACACACACACACACACACACACACACACACATATATATATATATATATATATATATATATATATATATATATATATATATATATATATATATATATACACACACACACACACACACAATTTAAGCGTGAATTGCAATATAGAGATATCCTTCAATCAAGTTAAATCCGGTTCTTTTTTCTTTCTTTTTTCAAGCACTGCCCACTCTTTGCTTCATCTTTATTTCTTCCCCTCTCTCTTCCCCTTTCGTACACGAACACACATGTGAGTATATTATGCAGCGGACAGATTTATGACGATTTTTGTTAAGTTTCAGGGCTGGTAGTCCGATAGACTTCGGTTTCTTTACTTTCCATTCTAGATGTTGGCCTATGGTTTGTCTGTTTAAATGTGGACGCGCTTAATATATTATGTGACATATTCATTTCCGGGCGTGGCTAGGGAAAAGCTAAGTTCTTAAGGACGTTCTTAGCTTTCACCACGCAAGGAATTGTTCAGTTACTTCACTTAAATTCTTTACTGCACTCTGCACTGCGTCTAAATGCCGACCAAAGGGCAAATGAGGGCAAAAGACGTTTTTAACTCAAGGGGGCCTCATGCATTGTTTTACGTTGAACCACGGGAAATTCAAAGTACTTTTTAAGCCTGTAATTGCGTGGAACTCAAATGTTTTTTTCTACCGTTTATGTAAGATAAAATTTGTTTTGTAAAAATTGTGGAATATCTGTCTCTGGTCCCTTATGCTGGACTTGGCCTTCTTCTTCTTTTTGTTTTCTATAGTTAAATTACAGTTTAAAGATAATTCATGAATAACTCTCGAATATGATTCTGGTATAAAAATCAAGCTCAGTAGTGCAGATCTGTTTATTGTCGCATAGAATAGTTTATAATGAATGTAGCCCACTGCTGCACATCGTGTCGTTATTATTTATTTTACGGCTGTCAGTCTCGCATTTAATTCACAAGTTTATTAGCAACACAAAATGATCTCGTGCATATGACTCCAGATGACTCTTATACCTACCACTTTATCATCCTTTAATTTTCTATGAGTAATATTTGTATTATTGTCATGCTTTATATTGATGTTTTTTTCTTAGACATATTAAGGCAATCTTTTGTGTGTACTATTGCAGCGCATGTTTTTACGTATAGCTTCTAAATATTTAAAAGTATTCAGCCTGTTTTGTCAGCTTTACTGAGAAGTGAGTGTATTTATATGAAACACCTAATCAGTATTGGGTAATAAAGTAGCTGTGGCACATCCCATTAACATGTCTATATAAATTTTGTTAACTATGTTTAGCATAAATAATTGGAAATTAAATTTGTTGTGGCGCTACGCACCTTATTAGAGCATGGAAACTGCTCTTGAAGACAATCGTTCTTGCCGAACCCTAAAAAAAGAAATCCTTATGTGGTGAAAAAATGTCCTTATGTGGAGTTTTTTAATCGGTGCATATGTTTTATATATATACAGATAACCACATTTTATCTTGACTTATTTATTTAGTAAGTAATTTGCATTTCAGAAAGAAATATAATTCTATATTGTTATCTAGAATTGTTGGATGGAAATTCTATATATTTTATAGGTATTTTATATTGAATATTTTATAAAGTAATATTTTGGTTTAACAATACAATCGTAAGTAAACTAGTTATGCAAGGAAAGAGGCAGTTTATATTTGGGCAAACATGCTTGTATGGAGGCCTATATTTAGGTTTGTAAAATTAAAATTTGCTGTTTTGTTATAGTTACAATTCACAATCAAATTACATTTAAACCACCATGCTATCAACTATGCATTTAATTGATATTAGTCTTTGTTGACTAGTTTATATACTTTGAGTAGCTAAAACTTGGAAAAAAGCCTGTTACCCTTTGAGCTATAGCTATGTGTTATTTGGCCCATTTAGTGACTGTTGAAAATATGACAGAAAAAAACTTTCATATACAATTTTTATTTGTTAATTTATGGCACATTTGTGCTCTCTCTACTATTTATTTAAATATTCCTGCTCTGACCAATATTGTCTATTGTAATCAAGTAAGTTGATCATATACAGAATGTGCAAATGGATTCTTTTTTTTTTTTTTTTCCAGTAATGGAGATATAAAGAAGAAAGAAATTTATCAGGAGTCTAATCTGAAGGGTTGCTGTTTGGTGTTGGAGAAGACAGTTTTACACAAAATTATATCTGTCATAAATAGTATATAATTACTCTGTTATTTAGGTGAACATCACTGTCAAGGTTTTTTATCTTAAAGCTATTCTGATATAAAAAATACATATCAATGTAAAGGGTTGTTGAATTCATTTGTTGTTTTCTTTTGTTATATTAGTTTTTATTTTGACTCTGTTAATGTAGTGACAATATTATTTCAGTGTTAATTATGACTTAATTATGACTGTTGTGAATACAGTTACTGTAACCTCAGTAAATATTGTTGCCTTGTATAATATTTACTCTATCCAAGAACTTAATGTGTGGGAAGAATTAAATCAGTAAATAATCCAAGCTTGTGCCCACTCAAAGGGGGAGGACTGTATTCAGGGCAAAAAGGTATACTAATGACTTTCTTAAAATCAGGATGTTGTAAAATGAGAGAGGATCATCTCTGTTTTAATCGAAAATTTGTTCATGTAAATGGTTCAAGTGATCAATCAAGTTTGATTGATCTCTCCGCACTATGATGCCGTGTCACTCTTTTTCCAAAAGTAGTCTAACTTATTTGTTGAATCAAAACCTGTTTTTATTTTTGTCAGTTTTATACTGACAGGTGCAAAATAATTTAGAACAAGTGAATAAACTGACAACAGATCATCAGGGGCTAAATTTTGAATACGGGAAACTAGCTTCCTTTCTTGTAACCTTGAAAGTCAGAAGTCTATTAACCCTTGCATATTCCATGTTCAAATAAACCTTTTAGGTATTTTGCGACATTTAGTTATTTACCCCAGTTTTTTTTCTTTTGTAATGTACAGCTTGCTCACGTGTTTATTACATTTGCGTATGTTTACAATATTTTATTATTGACATTAATTTATTATTCTTACTTTAAATATATCTGTTCGTTTGGAATATGAATGAATGAACGAACGAATGAATGAATTGTTCACTTCAGATATGTAACTCCAAGAAAATAACCGATAAAACTGCACGCTCATGTGCATTTCATGAAATGCATCTCTCCTCAGTAAACAAAGTTAAACGTAAACTTTAAAATATTCCACATTATTAGTTAGATTTTTTTGTTTAGTATATTGTAATAACTAAGTAAAACATACATTTCAATATAGGATATTTGCATTATAACCAATTAAAGAACATCTAAAGAAAAAGACAAAGTACCAATAATCGAGTTAGTTGGCATCACAATTTTCAAGGGTTAATAGCAAATAGGCTATGTAATTTGCATAAATAACTTTTTCTTAAATAGTTTGTATAAAAAATGTCAAACACTGGGGAAAAAGTTTTTTCTGTCGCATTTAAGCTAGTAACCTTTAGTCAAGTAAGTGTAGTGGCGTAGTGTATTACCAAGGGTCTGCACATGCTTGCTTTTGAATGAATATATATATATATATATATATATATATATATATATATATATATATATATATATATATATATATATATATATATAAAGAGAAGAATTTGTGTGGCCAACAACAGCAGCAACAACAGCATATATCGAACAAGTACCAAAGTATATTCCGTTTAATTAAAGTTGAACTACAAACTGAAATATTAAAGCAGACACCGAGATCTGACTGATTGTGAGAGGCGAGTGGCTTGAAAGAGAATTTTGATTTCGTTGCTTAACTTGGATTATTTCTATTCGGTGTTGAAATCACACTGCTGAATATCATTCGTAGCACAAGACTTTCTAATAAATCACATATATGGCATTTCCATACTTGAGCCAACCACATCTTATTCGGCACTCTAGTGCATTTAAGTCACAGAGCAGCCAATATCTGGCAGTGAGCGAGCGGCACATATCAAAGCGTTTGCACTGAGATATTTGAAAACGGAGTCGTGTGGTGAACGCCTGCGTGTCCCTTTTAAAACAAATCCAGGGACTGTCAATCATCGCGCATTCCGACCAATCCCAAAGCACCGTTTTTTAAAAGCTGGTTTGCCTGCTGTGCTTTTATATTGCAGTATGGCCTGGTTCGGAGCATTTTACTACCACGTTATTGCCACAAATCAAGAGGGCAAAGTGAACGGCATGGGACTCACACCAATCTTAACGAACCTCGGTCCGATTCTTGCGTCTGAGAGGTTTACAGGCAATAACTGCACATGCAGATGATACAGCGGGGGGAATGGGGAAGAGTTTTGTAGGTAAATCGTAAACTTTAAAGGTTGGTTGATTTGCCAAGCCCTCAGCCAAGCTTGCAACAAAACATGACAAGCCTGTCGCGGTTTAGTGGCTGCCCTCTTTCTTGCGTCAACCCTGGGGAGAGCAATACTGAACCCAGCGTGATGCTGCCACCTTTGGCAGAGGAGCACATGGGGCACCCCACTGGCAGTTCCTTAAAACTCTGCCCCTCGCAAAATTTGCGAGACTACCACGAGACGAGGGCCAGTGCATATGTTGACCACTCGGTTACCCATTTTCCAGACACTGGATACACCAGTCATCGCTTAGAACCCAGTCCTAGGGGCATTATCATTGGGACAAATCTGTCAGCAGCAGGCATGCCACCAGTAACTGATCAGCTGGCTTCGAGACCAACCCAACATGGCAATATTGGAAGGTACCGTGACCTCCACAGCTATAGAGATGGCAGGAGCCACGCGTTCTTCACCGCCTATCAAGAGCAGGCCCATGGCTCGTCAGACGCAACCCGAGATCTCAGCAGCCAAATGATGTTGGGTCTACCAGGAGATCTTCTCTCACGAACGCACCCGTACGGGCAGCCGGTCAGTGGCCCCAGGGCCAACAGCCAGCAGCTTGTCACCCAGTTCTTGGAGTTCTATAAGCCTCTGAATATGGCCATGCAGCGAGGAGGGGGTGACGCCTTCCTCAGGTGCTCCAGGCAGAATCCAAAACACGAGCTCGTGTGCAAGTGGAGTGACGGCCAGGAGGGCACTGGCAAGCCGCCCTGCGCCAGGAGTTTTGGGACCATGTATGAACTCGTCACCCATGTGACGGTTGAGCATGTCGGAGGACCGGAGCACTCTGACTACGTTTGTCACTGGGAGAACTGCCCAAGAGACAGAAAGCCTTTCAAAGCCAAATACAAGCTCGTCAACCACGTCAGAGTGCACACAGGAGAAAAGCCCTTTCCCTGCCCTTTTCATGGATGTGAAAAAGTTTTTGCCAGATCCGAAAACCTCAAGATTCACAAGAGAACGCATACAGGTTAGTTGTTAATAATAATAATAATAATAATAATAATAATAATAATAATAATCATAATATTAATAATAGTAATATTAATAATAATGATAATGATAACAACTACAACAGTAATAATAGTAATAATAATCAGCATCTTCAAACTTATATAATTGTTTTTGAATTTTTTTCGGTGAGTTTTGCTTTAATTTGTTACAACACAAAAAATACTGTAATATATGTTTATATAAATAATCGATGAAAAAATGTTAAATTACAGATTCCCAAAATATTGCTGTATCAATTATTCGGTGATATTTCAAATCGTATTTTCGCTGTACACTATTACGAATTTTTACAGATGGGTTCCTGTCGAATTCAGCTTTAAAATATTTCAAATTAATACACTTTTGTATACAAAACTATTTAATTATTTATTTATTACATTTACGATACTTTAATTTCGGTGCCGATTAATGCATTTGTTAACATTAAATAAAGCGTATTGTTTGTTTAACGTTTGTTGTTCGTATTAATAAAATATATTTTTAATGATTTTATAAACTGTCGTGCTGGTGAAAAACAGTCCACATGCCAGTTGTTTGGGTGCCTCTCATTCATGCAGTGAAAATAAATAAATAAATTCCGGGGCACCGGAGAGCTGTGACGTAGCGTTTACGCAAGGCGCAGCTGAATCCTCTGTTATGGTAGAGCGCACCCGCTCACGCAAGCTGTAAGACCACTACACTAGAAACTGACGTCACAATATCATATACAGTTTTCATAATAAAATTTAAAAATAAAATATGAATTAGATGTGAAAATAAGGTTAATCAATCACTTTAATTATTAAAGCCACACTTTATTATTTCAAAAACAAGAAATCAATTAAACCAGGAATTAATCTTTGGCTCATGACGCATATAAAAATGAATGAGGTCGAGTAGCAGAATAATCTGACTATTATAAATGATTATTGTTCACTGAAGACAATTTAAGTACAAATTGAAAATTAATCAGTGACACAATTCCATAAAATTACACGGAAGGGATTTGTTTCCTCAACTTGATTTTGAATTATTTTATTACTTTATTTTTCCTTTATTTCTGAAATGTATACGAGTTATTTGCATTTGCGAATCTTTCACCAATCATGCTTGTCTGCATGGAAACAGTTTAGCTGATTGGAAGCTATCACAATTTCTATGAATGATAGAAAAGAAAATTATCACATTTTGCATGCACATGAGTGTTATCTGAACAAAGTGATGTTCTCGCCTGCTTTACTGTTTAATGTGTGGAGCGGCACACTTTTTTGGTACAACATCCTGCATAACACATCTAATGACACCATGCACAGAACTGATGAGCCATGGTTGACTGTACATCCCACCCGTAACTCGCGTTTCCCCCTCCTCTGCCCGTTTAGGTGAGAAACCGTTTAAATGTGAGTTTGAGGGCTGCAATCGAAGATTCGCAAACAGCAGTGACCGGAAGAAGCATTCTCACGTTCACTCCAGCGATAAACCCTACACGTGCAAGGTCAGAGGCTGTGAAAAATGTTACACACATCCCAGCTCCTTGCGCAAACACATGAAACTCCATTGCAAGGCCTACATTGCCAAAATCGGCGAGGACGACGAGCACCTTGTAGAGGCCAGGTCTCCTGAGGTGACAGAACATCAAGACACACCCGCTTCAACCACAGTGACGCGAACGATGACGACCCCCTCTCACGAGACTCTGTCTCCCGAGACGCGAAACGAGTCTGCTGTGAGGTCACGTTTCCATCACACCTTTGAAAACACGTTGGACTATACGGCGCACAGGCCACAGTCCCTTTTGGACCCTCTGTTGCTACAACGGGGCAGTTACAGACCCGAGTCAGCTCAGTACTCATGCAACCAACCAAGCCATACGTTCGCACCCAGCCATAGAACTTTTGCGCCAAACTCACCTTTCCAAAAAAGTCTGGTAAATGGCTGGTACACCTGCCATAGCGCCGTGGACACTTTTTCACCCAAACACTGTAACAGTGATTTGTAATGTCTGTAATTCGGTCGTGTAAAAAGCATTGGCGGATGACAGTCGTGAGTTGCTTCCCATGTAAAACTGTCATAAAGGCTTTTCTGAGTAGAATAGAGCAATGTGATATATACATGTGTGTCTGTGTGTGTGTATGTATGCATATATACACACACAATACATTCATTCAGTGAGACGTCGGTTATTATTTCTGAAACTGTAAATAGTTTCCATAACCTTGCAAAAATAGTAGTTGACAAAATATAAATTATATATCAAATATAAAACAAATCTACAAATAAGACCCGGCAGATGAAGTAAAAATATATAAGTATTATAAATAGATCGAAATAATTATATTATTTCTGCACAAGAAAACAAAAATTACTGGCGTATTATTTTGAGTTTCCGTAAAGGCAGGGCCTCCGTTTCTGATGTAAAGTAGAAAAAGAGGTTTATCTCTTTAAAATTAATGAATTAAGGTAATAATACGTGAAATCTTTTGTAAAGTACAACTTTTACATGTGTTTTCTGTCACAGCATAAATTTAGGTCGAGGGTTCTTATAATTAAGGTTCTCGTTTGTCTTGATGTGTGTATGTGAAACGAACCCATCAGTGTACGAGGCCTTTAGCTACAAATTATTTTAAGATTTTCTCATCACATTACAATTAAGTTTATAAGTTGATAGGTTTGTGGCAAATGCTGAGGACGTCAGTCCTGTTCCATGGTAATTAAATTGTTTAATTAAGATTGTACTGTATATACTGTACAATTAATTATGCATTCGAAGTTTCATTAAAGTATATATATTCTCTTTGATCAGGCGTGTGATTTAACTCTATGCTTTTCAAAGGACGTGTGTGAATTTTATATAACGCTTTTGGATTTTATATGCATCGTGTTTGTTTTATGGAGACCTATACGCTTTTTTGGATTGAAATTCCAAAACCGAGAAACTTTACGCATTTAGTTACATTATCACTTGTTAGCAGTGACCAAAATAATGTATTTAAAAAGTTTAAACTTTGATTAAGTACTTTTTCTTCTGAAAGACGACTACGCGACCGCTTACCTTTACCTGGATTAAACTCCAACAGGTTTTAGATTTGGCGTCGTTTTCATGTCGTTGTTATCCATCTTTGCATTGTTTTATCATATCTGACATGATATATCTTTACTGTTGACTTTATTGCTTTACCTTTGCTGCATGACGGAGTATGAACAAGGGTTTAAACGAGGATAGGCCTTATACTAAGAATGACACTGCAGCGAAATCCAACCTACCTATATGCTTAGTTTACAAATTGAATGTGTTAGCACACTCTGTTTCTGTGCTAGAATGTTATATTAATGTACAAGAAATCACAATTTTCGCAAATCCTATTCCGTCAACCAAAAGTCGCATGTAATCTAAGTACTGTTGTTAAAATACACCATGCAGTTGTAAAATAAGCATACGTTCGCTGGTCAGAATGAAATGATAGCTTTGAGAAATTGTGCGCTCGAGAACCACAACTATTCGGTACACCTGTTGGATGACCACATGCATATTGCATATATTCCATTTTGTCCCTGTACTTCATAGATTTCTTAAAGTACAACCATTTTAAATTCATTAGATATTTTGAAAAATCTTAACACAACTGTAAGGCTGTAAAAATTTAATTTGGGCCATTTGGTAGAGATCTGCTGTTTAATCTGGTTTTAGCCTTTTTTTGTAATGTACTTACAGATTGCACTTGGGGATTTTTTTAGGTTCTTACATATTTTTTTGCTTGTGTATATGGTTTTTTGATATTATAGGATAATGTAGAGTATCTTAATTTGTAATGTGAAGAACTTGGCTGTCTAACACTACATGGTGAAGTGGTAATGCTAATGACCAGGATATATTGCATTTTATAAGACAAATTTCTTTTACTGGTTGGTTATTACAAAAATACATTATATTCACAGTTTAAGAGCCTAGTTTCCACTGTCCAGAATGGTGCCTGAGGCACCAATCATTACAACCCACTTTTGGAGAGACACTGGTGAAAAATCGGTGACCAAGGAATATAGTATTACTTTTTGGAGGGATATTTGAGCAATGAGAAAAAGAGACCCCAGGTTTAACTGGTAATGGGACTGCCAGTGCTTTTTGACTCTGTGGAGCTTCTAAGATATTTTTAATTTTATAATTTATTTAGCTATCATGAATAACCTTAGAAAGGTCATGGTAAATGTCAGTCTGTCTTCACTTAAAGCTCATATCTCAGCCGGACTGATATGAACATAACATGTTTATAGGAAGTACAAAAGAGAAGTATGCAGTGTATTGTAAATTTTTATTTTGAATGCAGATGGATCATTGAGTGACAGGAAATTGAAAGGTGGACACAGGAAGGTGAACTATTTGTTGCAGTCTGGTACTAGGCAAACAATACATTTCTTGTTTTAGAGAAATACTTTAACATGGGTTTCTGTCGCTAAGTGAGCTGTGATTGGACCAGTGCTTTTCATAATGGTTTGTCATTACAGAGGTTGTTTATTTATAATGAATATTCGTAAATGCTGTGAAAAAAGTTATTTGAACTGATCTTATTAGTTGAAACATCTCAGCTTAGAATTATTCCTCTATAAACTTTGATACCTTTCAAAACACTAATGTTAAATCTTACCATCAATTGCAATTAGAATTCTTTGCAAATTATTTAGTTTTTAGGATCACCCTGGTTTACAAAACATATAAAATGTATAGCGTGTGCTAAAATAACAAAGGAAATATTGTTATTAAAACTGGCTTCGAAATTACCTGAGAAGTATAATTGAAAACAATCGAAATCACATTATTGATCACATAAAAAAAGCATATCTTTTAAAGCATTATTTTTTTCTCTTGCATCACTTAGAATTTAATATCGGAAAATAAAATTGTGGATGCTCTAATGTTGCTCCTTCTTCTTTGCTTTTCAACTAACGTGAGTTAAATCAAATAACTAAAATTGTGAAGACTTA